TACAACAACAACTGCAAACAAACTATGTAAACAAGACAAATTTATATTCCTTTGAATTTTTGTTAATAAATATATATATATTTTATTCTTGAATGTTGAGAATGTTGTTTTTATTTCATAAACTCGTAGTTAGACTATATGTATTCTATCTAAAATCTGTACGAATGTTAAAATCTTCTTATCAAAGATTTAAATATCAGACAGTAATTCCATTTCTATAATGGTCTGTATTAAAATATACAAATAATATATGTTTAGATTAGTGATGCCACTACTTCTACTACTACAAACTTTCAGTATTGGATTCAGTTACTAAAATAGTCATAAGTAGGCCATAGTGAGAATAGGCAATTGCATATGTTAAGATCAATGATGTCAACTACTACTACTACTACAAACCTCTAAAATCTAATCTAATTACTATAATGGTCCATATGTAAATAGGTAACTACATATGTTTAGATCAGTGAGGTCAACTACTCTACATATACTATAAATCTCCAGGATTTGAACTAATAATGACAGGGATTCTAAAAAAATTAACATATGTGACATACATAACATATTAAAATATATGCCCATCTGTTCAATAAGGCTCACAACTTCTTCATCAACCAATTTATTTGACAAAACATTTTCATATTTTAAAGTTCTATAATGGCCAATTAACAATATGCCTTCTGGAGTATATGTAACATTTTAAAATTATAAAGTTAATTTTGGAGCCATCTATTGGCAAATACCTATATCAATAATGTCAACAACCATTGCACAGATTCATCTAATTTGAACCATGGGACTTTAACCTTTACGAAAAAAGTGTTTGTTGATTAACGGAAAGAGTCCGAACATCTAAAAGTCTTATAACAATATATTAGGTCCTTTCTAGCAACGATTTAATACATTTATTTAACAAGCCTTTAGTTGCTGATCCCAAATTATTTATGATCCTAATGTTTGCTTTCTAATTATAAAAACTACTTGAAAGCATAGTTTATTATTAAAAATAATACATAATAGTACATAATAGATTAATAGTACATAATAGATTAATAGTACATAATAAATTAATAGTATATACTAGATTAATAGTACATAATAGATTACTAGTACATAATAGATTAATAGTACTCGAATAAAGTACACATTAACAATTTACGCCTTCCATAGAATTTCTGTGACTTATTAAAGCACTTTAAGTGGCGTACAAAAAAAAAACAGTAGCAAATGATGATTTCGAAAAAGAAACAATTTAATAAAAACAATTGAAGGCACAATCAATTCAATCCAACCCAATAGTCATGCAATATATCATTAAACCAACATATTTAGAAGTTATTCCATTAATATAATACAACCTATCTACTTTAGCTTCAATATGTTTATAGAAACTTGAAACTAAACAATATGAGAATTATAAATTAATTTTTTATATAAATTTATGCTTTACTTCTTACCTATTCATAAAAATAAATTTTTCGATAAAAGTAAAGCGTTTCTGGACATCCAACAATTTCTTTTCAACATCATGAAGAATATACCATATATGCAAATCAAGTGAAAAAGAAACTGTTTTAATTAAACTGAATTGGAAAATAACTTTAAAAGCCACCTCTTAGTAAAATCGAAATAGTGTCAACATTTATCTAACAAGATGCTATATATCTCTCAATTAATATATTTATAATCAAAATAGCTGTAACAACGTTATCAAAATACAGTTCAATTCCCCAGATCAGACATTTTATGACAATCCTTTGAACTGCTAAGATATGATACTTGAATTTGGGTAAATATGTATCAGATTGTAAACTGTAAGGAATATATCAAACAGATATATCAAACAGAAATTAATATTTGTAGGTATGATATAAACTTACTCAACTAAACAGTTATGTTGCCCTGTAGTTAAACATTTCTGTGTTACAAACATTTTAAAACTATTAATTTACCATTTTTGGAAAGTTAGAGAACGTTTCTGGAATGTAACTTCAAATAATCTTCAAAAGTTTTTACAGTTTATTTCCTATAACATTTCTTGCCTGTGTAGAGTATTTTTCCAACTGTAGCAAAATAACACTTCACCGAAGAAGGAAGGTGTGATCATGTGCTGCAGTTTTCTAGGTAGTTCGGCTAGTAAGAAACTAATTAACTTTTTAATTCATCTATATAAGAAAAAAGTTTATTAAAGGGTTTAATTATGTTAAAACTCATAATTTAAAAACAGAAATGATGCGGAACTAATTTAAAATATTAATATTTTATGTTTACATTTATTTTAAAAATAAAAAGTAAAAATTTTTGTATCGTCTTCCTTCGAAAATTGATTTTATGGTACTATGGTGCGTATGAGTAACGTGAAGGACGCCTGATAAATTAATTTTTTTTAATTACTTCTAAAAGGAATATCACACTGGAAATATATAATTTTTAAGTAGAACTTATATATTAATCTGAATCAAAAAAAAAAAAAATTGTGTGACATATTCCTTTTTTTTTACTGAAAAATCGTGTATATTCGTTTGGTGTGATATGAAGGATAAATAAATTTTTAAAAGTACTTCTAATTACAATATCGTCCTGAAATTTTTGGGTTTTATGTAGAATCTTATTACTAATCGAAATCAAAAATATTATATAAGAATATATGTAGTATATTCTTTGAAAATTCATTCAATGGAAATGTAGTACGCATGTGCTTGATGTGTTTTGCGGGAGAAAAAAAATATTAAAAAATTTCTCGAAAATTTTTATTTAGTAGTAAAATTTAAAACTGAATCAAAATAAAATATAAAAATTGAAAATTTAGCTAAAAGTTTTGAGAAAAAATTTTTTTTGAAACTTAACGGTTAATATTAGTACTTAAATATAAACAATTTTAATTGTTTAAACAATTTCATAAAAGTACAATCAATTATCTTTGAAACGCTGTAAATTTCTACCTTTTATAGAACTTGAGAAATAGCCATTTGAAAATGTGTACTATGCCAATTCTCAAAACCCCATGGGTCCATATCACCTAGGAAAAAAATAACAAAATTTTTTTCAGAGATACGGGTCTTCTTATTTTATGAAAGGAGCTCATAAAAAAAAATTTCAGCCAAATCGGAGATTATGAGGTCAAAAAGGTGTCCGAGTTGTAAAAGAATGACCCATATACTGTTGTTAATAGCAATTGATACAACATAATGCTTTCTCTATGCACCACAATCTATAGAACTGAAGTGAATGCTATTGTAAAAGCATGAAATTTTGTTAAAATAAATAACTGTAATTCTATCATCTGTTTATAAAACAAATCTGCAATTGAAAAATTAAAAACTTCAATAGAAATAACAAGATAGTCAACGTTATGAGTGACTAGCTAATAGGAAACAAAAAAAAAATATAGCCGGCAACGAATATAATACCGAGCTATTACTGAAAACAAAACGAAAGCGATTAATGCAGACAACCCTCCTCTAAACCGCAAAAGTATACTCTCCGAAATCACAGTACCCCAGTAGCTAAGTTCTCAACAGGTTTCTATTTGTTATCTCTAGAAAAGATACCTTTCTTGTGCAACATAAACTATCCTATCCCTATTAGGAATTTTCCTGATGAAGATAAAAGCAAATTTGCCAAAATACGTATAAGAGTATACAAAGAATACGATCGAAATGAAAATTAAAATCCTTAAAAATAAAACCGAGTTGATCCTATCCCAGTTAAGATCAGGATATAACTACGTGCTAAACAGGTCGTTGCTTGTCACACATTTCTTCAATTCTCAATGTGTGCCCGAATTGCAGCTCTATTCCAAATAACGTCGCACATCTGTTTTTCTACTTTAATGTACATTATAAGTGACCCCTCTTGATCTATGGTCACGGGTTCCTTTACCTTTACTCAGGCTACTTTTAATTAAAAAAACCCAAGCCCTTATACCTCCCATATCTCGAAAAACACTTTTATTTCTTAACTCAATCCAATACTTTCTAACCTTACCTTTTATTCGTATTGTAGCTCTTTCCATATTTCGTGTTATATACTTAAATCTAAATGGATTATAGCAACATCAGCAACGATGCACACTTTAAATAATATGTCAAAAGATGGAATAATTTTAAATATAAACACATATATAAACTATTTAATCCTAATAGTGTTAAATCTACATAGCTAATGTATATTTAATAATCCAATAACAATGTCTTACAAATGTTTGTCCGCTTCCATACTGTAGTGGTTGCAATATATTAATTCATCAAGATCTGAACGAAACAGTGCCTGTTTGTACTTTCTGTAGAAAAAACAATATATAGGCTAACCATTTCCTTTTGGATTACCAAATTATCGAAAGCACTCGATTTATATTGAAATTAACAAATTAACAAGATAAAATCATCTCAAGTATTACACATTTTGGATATATATAAATCAGAAACAGATCAGTAACACATATTGTAGCACTAAATATAAGAACCGCCAGTCCCAACAACTACAATTTAAGTCTCCAATCCACACCCACTAGCTAATAACATGATTCCCTCTCACTCAACCGCTATCCATCCACATTCCAACCGACGTATTCGTCATGTTTTCAATTTCTTTCATATTAAGTGCTTTTCAGATCTCGACGGACTACAACAACAACAACAATAACTACTAGTACTACTACTGTTCTCTTACTACTACTGTTCTTAATTTAATAAATAAATGAAATCTTTAAATCGTTTTTGTTATTATGATTGTTCTTTATTTAGTAATCGTTTGTTCACATCGATTTTAATATATATATATAAGGTCATACATACATATATATACTGATATATATATATATGTATACATATATATATATATATATAAAATAATATATATGCTGCCTTCATAAAGACATTTACATTTGAACTTTTATCTATCATTTACAAAACACTAGAATTATTTAAAATACGTAACTTGCACAAGATATTTTAGAATTAATTTTAAAAATTAAAAATTATTTTATAATAAAAGTCTTAAAATCGAATCTCGTGTAAGCATATTTTACATTTAATTTTACATATATAACGATAGATTTGTTGATATATTTATGTTTTACGAATTGAAGTTTTCATAGCTTCGCAATAAAACCGCATAAATATCTTTTACGACTTTCGCAACGTTTATGGGCTTTACTCGATGCTATTATAGCTTCAATTTATTTTATTTTTTTAGTCGCTAAAATATCTAGCTTTAAAATTACTAATGTAAAAGTATTAAAATCTTATTAATCGAAATTTTTGTCTACGTTAAGAATAATTATTTTTGTTAATTTAAGAAAAATAGTTTTGAAGTTAGGTTTTCATATACATAGACATATGTCTAAGATATAATCGGTTTAATAAGTTTATTTAAAATGATTATCAGAATTCAAACGTTGTATAATTTTTAGCTGAAATTAAAAAAAAAAGAAATATTAATTGAAGAAGATAGTACTTACCTCTGTTTTATCATTTATATCTGATATCCGATAATTTTTGCAAAATCGCACAAAAAAAAACAAAGTTATATTGGTTGATAAAAAATGTGAATTACTTAAATTGGAAATTAAATTTAAAAGACTAGGAGTGAACGTAAGAAAGAACCGATTCGATTCATGTTCAATGCGTATATAATTTAAACTCTTTTGGATTGAAAATTGCGACGATAGGTGTTGCCACCACCATTTCTGGAATTATTTCTATCAATACGTCCACCAGCGCCGGAACCATTTCGTCCATTAGGATTGCGTTGACGTGAGCGATTGTTGCTGGTACCATATGTTTGAACATTAGCGGAATATTTACCAGATGGTGGGGCGTAAATTTTTTGATCATTCCCAACCTTGGATTTCTTCTCAACATCCCTTTGCCGATCCTTATCAAATGTAATTGGAGCATGACGTTTATTTAAAAGCTTATTCTGCAATAAATAAAATAATATGTTCAATTATAAATAAAAATACAAAATAAAGAACATAAATAATAATAAAAAATAAAAAACATAAATAATAATAAAATATAGAGAATATAAATAAATATAATATAAATTTATATAATATATAAAATATATAATATAAATATATATAATATAAATATATATAATATAAATATATATAATATAAATATATATAATATAAATATATATAATATAAATATATATAATACATACATATATAATATAAATATATATTATTATTTATAATATAAATATCATGTAAACAACAAAAATTACATGGCGTAGAACAATCACAAATGGAACATCCATAACTATAAATGAACTGAAATTTATGGCACAAAATCGTCAACTTTGGAAAAACTTTGTTACGGATGTAAATAGGCTAAGTTCTATATATTAATTATATTGAACATGCTTATAATAATAACAATAATAATAACAATAATAATAATAATCACAATAAAAATAATAATATATAAACAACAGATATATAAAATTTTATAACAATAAAACTTAAATAAAAAAAAAATATTTTTTATTACATACGTTTTTTGGTGTAACCCATGATAATAAGACATCATGTTTGAATATTGGTGGTGAATGGAAAAGATCACGAATCAAGACACTTATATTAGAAGTAGTCTTAAGTGCAGTTAGTTTTACTTGATTCTCCTCAGATTTCAATTCTTCCTCATTTTTACCCTTAACAGCTTCCTCTAACTTTTTAATATAACTACAAAAAAAAACATTAGGTAAATATAAAATATTTTAATATTATTTATTTAATTAATTTTACCCTTGTGTGCCACGTGCTAAATATTGAAGTCTAGAACGAAAATCCTTCAACTTTTCTGGGTCATTAATAAAAGAAAAAGAATTAGTATTCTTTTTGCCTAAGGTGTGCAAAGCATAAAGAAGGCATTCTGCATGAGAAAACTCGAACGATGGAGTAGTATTTCCGACGTCTTTATCATCAAGCTGTGGCAACGGCATATACTCCTGTTAAAATATATATTTATATATATATATATATTAGTATAATATGAGGAACAGTTACTGTTTATAATATATCACTATTTTGTTGTTGCAATTCACTACTGTACGAAACATCTTTATTAAAGACAATACTTTCTAATAAAAATAGTAAAACAGTCAGAGTGACTGAAAAGAAAGAACTTAACATTTTATCAATGCGCTAAGTATTACTTTCTCTACTATTTCTAAAGAAATATTGTTTATTTCTTTTTTTTTATAATCTAACTTAAATTTTAATGAATTTAAACCTAATGAATAAGAAAAGTAAACTTATAATCTATATCAGTTTTAGTTTTGTTAGTTATTGTTAAGTCTATAAGAAGACTTAATAAATAAATTAATATATTATTAAAGCATTAAAGTGTATTAGAACTATTAGTAGAAAAAACTCTCTCTATATAATAATGCTTCAACAAATACTTTAAATATTCCATAATGAACAACGAATCTACTTTATATTTAATTTCTTCCATTTTATTTTACACAAAAAAGTATAACAGCAAATGCTCGAACAACATATGATGTTTCAGAGCTAAGTGCTCAAACATTAAACTACTTCGAATAGCACAAACATTACTTCATACTTTACTACATAGTAAAGAGTATAGTGTTTATAACTATTTTAAAAATATTATATTAAATTATTTCTTACCCTTAATACTGTATAAACGGAATCAATACGCTTTACTGCTTCAGGCAACACATCACAATATGGAGTCATTTCTGCAAATACTTTTAGTAGACGTAATTGAACTTGATTTTGCTGAACAGCAGTTGCCAACATATTCCATGTTGCTAACGGAAGTAACTTGTCACAGACATATTCGACGAACTCCGTAGACTTAATGGTATGCTAAATAAAATACACATGTTGAGAAAATATAATTATTATATATTCATAATTTCATTTGCGTTTAATATATACTTACAGAAAAGTATGGCATTGCATGAGTGGAACACTGAATAAAACGTTCAACAATTTCATCATCAATGGTGATCTCATCAATATCATTATTTAGCTCTGCTTGTTCTTTTGCCAAGTTAACCAATTGAGAATGACCAGTGATTGTTGAACCCAATTTTGTGGAACCTAAGATGTTCATGCAGAAGTGGAAGTCATCTGCACTTACATCCTATAAAATATAAATAAATTATAAATAATTTACAAATAATAAACACAATGTATTTTAATATATTTGTTTGGACACAAAAAGAGCACAAAGAAAATATATATTTTAAAATTATTTTTACAAGAGCATATATTAATATTCAAAAAAATGCTAATAGATATGAAATGAATTCTATATACCATGGAATTTAGTATAAATTAATTTATATTGTATAAATGATGTTCAGTTGTCAGAAAGATCTATACAATTAGCAATTTTGTAACAAATTAGAACTAAATGGTTATATCATGCATTTCCATATAACATTAAATTATTTTTTGCGATAACTTTTTTTTTGTAGAAGTTAACAATATATAATATATTTTGAATTTAAACTGATTATAAAACTTTTATATGAAATTATAAATTACAATATATATAGCACTTACCATTAAAATCTTTTTGATTTCATCAACAATATATTCTTCAACCTCAGATGTTATGATAGCTGGTCCCATTGGCAACAATTTCTTCAAAATGTACTTGAAACAACGTTCTCTAGTGACTTCATCTCCATTAGAGATTTGTTGAAACAAGCCAGCCAATGAACCCTTAGTGTCTTTCTATAAATAAAAATATCGATATTTTATTAAAAATGTCTTTTCATATATAATCGTAAATAACTTATAGTGATTTATAAATAAACTATAAACAATTTATAATAAACAATATTAAAATGAGTTTATATTTTAGTTTACAATTCACAGCGATTATTTTATATTTAAGGTAAAATAAATTTCTGTTTACAATCTTGGTTCTTTATTAAATAAGAGCTTAGGACTTAAACAAATCTAAGCTATATTAACGTTTACTTTATATATTTTTAGAACAGTTAAAGACAAGTTTTAAAAGTAATATTGTGTAAGTTATTTAAGGTTTACCTTATATATTTAATTTAAAATCAGTTATTTACTACCTTTGAAGTGTTATATACATATATGCATACCAACTATGTACTGATAATTTCTAAAGTATTATGAAAGTAGCCAACAAATAATAAATTAACTTATTTAATAGGTTTGCAAAAGTCAATTATTACTTCATAGACTTCAAAATAGTTTAATGATATGTAATCATAATAAATATTTCAATTATTTAAAAAGAAAAAGTAAACTACATATATAATTTTACAAGCTTCAAATTAATTATTAATTAGTTATTAATAATATATAATCATAGTATCATAGAATTATAAGAGACGATGGCCAGAAATTAATAAGAAAAGATCAGAGGAACTAATCAACCTATGCCGAAAAAATGTATCTAAGATAGTGGAAATTATTACGGGACACTGTCCGTTGGAAGAAGCCGTTAGGTTCAATATCAGAACCTCCTTGCACTGTAGACATTGCATGGAGGATGACGAAAAGGAATCACTAATACACTTTCTGTTACAGTGTCCTATTTTCGCAAGAAATAGACTCTCCTACTTAGGGTGACACTTTTTCAATTCGCTATAAAAGCTAAATTCTATTTCCCTAGCCCATGTCAATGTCTTTGTGGACAGTACTGAATGGTTATAGTGACAGATGTTAAATTCTTAAGGATATCACAATGGATCTCATGGTATGAGTGCGTCTTCGAACGTCCCTAGTAACTTAACCTAACGTAGTAAGAGACGAAGTAAAAAGTAGAAGAATAGTACAAGTAAGAAATAGAAGAATAGTAGAAGTAAGAATAATAGTTTCTTGCAACGTAACTAATTTTAAAAATCAAATTAATTATAGAATTAAATATAATAGAAAAAAATATTAATAAGAAATAAAAATTTTTCAATTTTGCCTGATCAAATCATAGAGTAATATTGGCATGGCATTCTTTGTAGTATGTTCTGAATTAAGTTCTATACTCAAAAAAGAATAACATAAAAAAATACATACTGCATTTTATAATACATTTATAATAAAATGCTTACTACCTCTACAAAATAATAATGCTAAAATTTAACAGTTATATATAACTATAATTAATTAATTTTATCATTTTATAGTTGGTTCATTATTACGTTCTAATATAATATAGTAAGTGAAATTGTTAATGGACTTTGACAACAACTTAACAGAAACTCTATGTAAAAACATACAAGTCAAGTAAGCTTTGTGGCAGTTGGCAAATGAACACAGACCCTGAGCTTCAAATTTGGCTGGCCACAATTTCAACCCTTGACACTTGCAGTATTAAAAAAAGTATTTACGAATAATTAAAATTAATAATAAAAAAATAAATTGAAGATCATTGATGTTGGATATTCGGCAATTCTCAAAACAGGTGTATGATTAGCTAAAAATTTAATTAATTAAAAATAATAAAATTTTGTTGATGCAATTCACTACTGTTCGATAAAACCTCTGTAATAAAATTATAGTTTTTATAAAGAAAATAGTTTCTTTTGTCATAACCGACAAATAACAAATATTTCAAATTTAATAAAAATATTTCAACTAAAGCAGCACTAAACCATTTCTGTATTGACATTATTGCTATTGTAGCTCGCGCAGAACAAAATATAGCGAAACATAACATATAAAAGAAACTACAAACACAAATACGTGGATTAAGAAGAGACTGTTGTTTGGGATAACGGATCAATGTGGCTTAAACTAATCTGTACATTACGACATGAGAATATTAGTATGTACATACCTTAATAATTGTTTCAAATGCAGAGAAAACTTGTTGCAGCTCTACAACATCTGTTAAAACCAGCAATTGTGCCAAGGTATCAGCTATACGAGGTGTTTGTTGTGGATTATCCAAGCATAATTTCGGCAAGTCCTTGATAGCTTGCTTACGTATCTAAGAAAAAAATGTACATTAGAAATATGAAGTGCACCATTAAATATAAACTAAACTTAATTAATTTAAATAAACAAAATACGCACAAATTTGTTAAAGCACTTACCTGTATATCATCATCCTCGCAGAGATCAAGCTGAGCATCAATGGCGTTATCCGTTAAATCAGGAAAATACTTAAAAAACTTTCCAATAAATTGGGAAGCCAAACGTTTTTCTTTGGAAGAACCTTTAACAGCATTTAGAATAGTTTTATATTCCTCAGCGTGCTGTCAATAAAATAAAAAAATTAAGTGAAAACTATGTAGATATATGTCAAATGTAGCGGCTATTCATTAATTACATACCTTTGCCTTATCCTCCCCAGCTTCCGACAATACATCATAACATTTGTATAAATGTTCAATTTTATCCATGATAACAGCAGAGCTTCTTACTTTTTATATATTCACTTGTTTATTTGCTCCACAGAAAAACTTCTACACTGAATTATAATGAACGAATGCGTTCGATGTGTAAAATATTGCCAGTATTTCTTGTAAAGCAAAAGGCATGACGATATTATTGGTGTTGCCAGATAAAATAATCGATAGCAATTTATTTTTATATAAGAGTTTTTAAAAATAATATATATAGGTTTAAATATTTTTTTTTATTACAGATATAAGATAACCAATGTAAATATATACGACATTTAAAAAGTATATCAACAAATACATAATATACATTATTTACAATTTTTACGAAAACAGTAAATATTTCTTTTACATGGCAGCACAAAATTTATTTGTGTAAGTATATGCATCCCGTTCTTACAAATGAACTACAAGGCATATTCTATGTTGTTATGAGCTAAATTAAGAGCAAAGCCACCGAGTGATATTCAAACTGATAAAATTTAAGCAGCTTAGTTTAAATTGCTAAAACTTTTTTAAAGTTGTACCTAGTATTTGAAGTAATTTGCTCTAGATAGTATATCTTCCGATTTTATGTAAATATTTTCAGAACATTTAGGACGTAAGTGAAGATTTTAATTATTTAAGAAATGTTAATTCATTTATAAATAATTTTTTTGCAATTTTAGTAGGAAAAAATTTCAAAATGATTAAAATGTCAATTAATTAACAAATAGTTAATTTTAATGTTCAAAAGTTAATGGATATTTAATGTATGGGTTTTTTTCGTTTTTTTTTTAAATTCATTTATCCACATGTATGTTAAATCCTTATGAATAAGAAGAATGTATGTTGTCATAACAAAAATTACCATTCAATAATAAATTTTAGTTTATTGTAAAATTTGTTAATTGTTTAATGTGTATATTATATTGTTTAATGTATATTTAGGACGTGTGCGAGTAAATTGAGGGAAATTGTAAATTATGTCGGTATGGCAACGAATGCTATTATTTACCAAAATTTCGAGTAGGGTAAATTAAATAAAAGTTATGTAAATTAGGTGTTACCATTATGAAATTTTTATACGATTTTTAATAAATAAATAAATAAATTTGAAAACTTTTATCCAAAAATAATAAATAAATGCAATGAATAAATAAGCAAATATTTACGTAAATGCAGTGCAAAAAATCCCTAGAAAATTTCAATTTATTTTACCTCAATTTACTTGCATTCGGACACGGCCTTAATGTATTTTATTAGTTTATTTATGTATATAATATATGTATTGTACATCAATATAAACGTATACAAAAACCAGTAAGACCGTAACAGTTATTAAATAAATAAAAGCCAATTAACAAAGATTTTATGGTCTTTTAAAATAAAATTTAAAAAATAATAATTGACTCTGCTTTTTAATATTTTTTTCAAAAATAATTATTATTTGCCTTTTACATTTCCACACACAAATAACTCGACCATTTAGCTTATTTTTTTAAAACGCAAAAATAATATTTATTATTTTTGCCTTAAAAACGAAGAACTTGAAAATAAGTATTACTATTAACAGACAAAAATTAAAACGCTTTGTTTGAAATTTATTTTGAAAAGTAAAAAAAACTCACAACCCGAGCGTATTGATTGATAAAATGTATAGAACGATTGGTACAGGTAGAGTTTATTTTATTTTCATTTAATAATTATTGCAGTTATAAGTCCGATCTTGTATTTATATAAATTATTATATATTTATGAACTTGAAGTTCAATTCGAAGTAAAATGTATTAACTAATTATTTATATATAACATCTTAAAATTGTCTTTGCATTATTTTTTTATGATCATTTATGGAAATAATCTTCAAATGTATTATAACTAAACTGTGTCATTAGAAAAGAAATATTCATATTAAAAATGTTAAATAAAATAACTTTATATACACTAATTATTTTTGTTTTGTGTTCTTAGGAATGAAATACTGAAAATAAATATTTTCTAAAAAAAAAAAATACTTTCTTTTATACTTAATTTTATGGTATTCATATTGACAAATGAATAAAATATAAAAAACAGTTCCTATTGAAAGCAATTCAATGTGAAGTTCGCCAGTTGAGCCTACGTAAAGTGGATTATGAAGCGAATAGTACTATACACTTGAGGACTAGTGAATTCGCTAGTTCAGAACTAGTCATGTATGAAAAAAATATTCATAGGCATTTATATTTGGTTTTTAATGAGTATACTCTAAGTGTTGAAATTATGTCTCGTTGCAGTTCTCTGGTGCATATGTCGATTTCTTATGTTTTGACACTGCAAATTTTCTTTATATTGTTAGAGTATTATAAAAGCTTTCAATTCAGATAATGCAATTATTTCGCAACAATCCATAAAAATGATATTCTTTTTCTGGACATTTCTTTACCTACAATCGTTTTCTTCGAATTATTTTCTTTAGAACTATTATATAAAGCACATTTTATTTCTATAAAAATAAATACTTATAATTTATAAAAATACAAGATTTTATATTGTTGTAATTAATTATATAATTAATCATTTGTAATAATTACAATAACAACAAGCAAACACACACAAGGCGGTTTATTTTGTTCTGCTTGAAAATAAAATTCCCCGATTTGGAACTTATATTTGGTTCTCAAAAATAAGTTGCACACGAGGAGTTTTCTTTTTGCACGCAAAAATAATAAATATTTTTGACCGAGTTTTTTTTGTTAATTAAATGAATTAATTTTTTATTAATTATTACTATTTTTACTTTTAAAAATAAAAAGCAGAATATAGGAGTTATGTATGTGTGGAAAAGTAATTATTTTTGAAAAATGTAATATAAAGCAGATTTATTTTAAAAAGAGAATATATATAAAACATGGATAATATAAAATTATTATTTTTATAATTTTATTTTAAAACGGGAATGCTGAACACTCACACACTTAATGTCAGTGCAACGAATATTATTGCGGGCACATCTTTTCGCTGTACATATCTAGCGTTTATGCCTTTTAATACAATAAAGCATACTGCCTTCATATAATATATATATATTAATATATATAACTCACCAATACTGCCAATAAATTATAATCAAGTAATTAATTTAAGCCTTCTCCACTACTTCTTACTTTCACAGAAGAAAACTCTATTAACACTACTGAAGCAAAAAAAAATTTGACGTATTACCTACTATAAAAAAACAGAGCTGTATTTATAAATCTATTACAATGAGATAAGGCCTTCTTGAATGTAATTTTAATAATAAATTATTCAGAGCAAAACCATTTTCAAATAATTTCTTAAAGCATGTTATGATTATACTCACGTTACTGCAACTGTTGTTGCTTGTAATGCAAAATGTAAATTTGACACTCACAACTTATCTGATTTTGCATTGAAAACAACAACAGTTGCCGTGACGTGACATTAACCGTAACATGTCGTTTAAGCGCTATTTTGAAGCCAACTTCACAGACGTTTTTAAAGTCTCAATACTGATTTAGGTATGACTTAAATTACTCAATTTAGGATTGAGTTTCACTTTGTTTCATTTTTTTAAAAAGTAACAAATTTTTCAATATTTCTTTATAAATAACAACACAGGTTTCCAGCTGATTAATCATCAATATATTAAAAAATGTAACAATTGTCAAAATGAAAACCCGAAACGATAATGTAAACGCTAAATCAACTTTAGCAAAGTTCGTTGAATAAGCACGTAATGTAAACATAGTATAGGAATAATAGTATGGGCCAATGTTATTGGAATTCAAGATTACTTCATCCGACCTTCGCTTTACTAATAAAAGCATATGTGATGCCACATAAAGATGCATCCACGCCAAAGCGAATGCTTGCGAACGAACGAATATTCGAAGGTGAATCTCCTTAAGAAAACGTTTCTATTGGTTAATAGCACATACACACTGTCTCATTTAGGAGGTTTTACTCATTATAGTCACTAATGAGAATGATTTACAATACAAAGAGTTTTCATATAAATGACCTTATTAACAATAAATTAGCTCATTTGAAGTGAAAAATGTCAAATGAAACCCTTAAAATTAAATTTCCAACAAGCGATATTACCAGAATTTTAAATGAGTGTCATATGTTTTATATATAAAATTTAAACAAACAGCAGCTGAACTGTAAACAAACGTACTGAGAAAGTAAATATTTAATAAAATCGTTGTTTTTATCAATTAAACATGTAATATTTATTTTTTTGTGTGATATATTATTAGTGAAGTTTATTAATTTCATGTAAAATATTCTATCAGCTGTATAATTGAGCTCATAATATGAACGTTCACTCATTAATATAACTGAGCAAGTACCTAAATGGGACAGTGTGAATATACTATAAGATTTTCAGGATTAAAGTCAATAAAAAATAGCAAATGAATTGTTCAAATATGTTAGCTTATCTGCACAAAAGTACACATTCCAACTTTTAAAACCTGTAAATTCTAACATTTGTCATTGAGCAAGACTGACCAACATAACTACACATAGAAATCCTTGTCACCTTAACTAAATTAAAAAATAACTAAAAATAACTAAATTAAATAGTAACTAAAAAAACACTAATAATTTGACATTTCAAATGAACGAAATGAATAAATTCAAACTCCATTGAAAAACTTAAAATAGCTCTTAACATTCACGTAAATGTGGTAAATAAATAAGTGAAACTTATTTATTACCATCCATGTATACGGACAGACAATAAAATGTTTTTATGCTTTTCAAAACTTCTATTTTCGATTAAATAAAGTATTCTTAAATTTATTGACACATTTTAAATATCCATCTACATACAACTCTAAATACTGTATAAGCTCTTAGGATCGACAATTATGTCGTACCTACGTGTTATGATATATGTAATCAATAATTATAATTACTTGATATTGATATTTTCAATTGTTTTTCGATGTAAAATATTTGTATTTTACAAATCAAAGTTTTATTATATCTCCGTATCTGAAGTTTTATTATATTATTTATATTTTATTATTATTTTATTTATTTATTATATTATTTTATTATTTATTTTCTAAGTGCCAAGCTGAGAGACTAGTGTATTAGCTAAAATACTCATGGACAAGCACAGCTAAAGCGATTGCTCTTGCAATATCCAGAATATATTATTATACAATAATATATGCTATTAATATTTTGTTCATATTCATATAGAACATTAGGTTTTTTTAATATATCTATTTAACATGCTAAACTCGTGTTATGCTGCTAAAATGTAGAAGTGTCAAAAGCTGAATGGAAACAACGTGAGTGCTCGTTTTGTATGCTAGAAACAATATATATTAAATCATAATTTAGTTATCTCAGGTTTGATATACATAATGCGTAAAATTACAAGCAAAATACAAGCAAAAACTTAAAAATAGAACGAGAGTAAGTCGAATATATGATAAATATAAATTTCAAGTTCTTGCTGACAATATTTTAAAGCAAATAAAATGAGATAATTTATGTAAGTATTAAGTTTAAATTTTTTGTCAGTTAAAAAATATAGCAAAAAGAAAGAAAAAAAGTGTAGACAACAATTTTAAATTAATGGAATTAATTTTAATTTTGTTATTTCACAATTTCACAAAACTGAAGTAAATAATGTGATTTAACTTTTCGAAAGTGCAAAATATGTTTTATGCTTCTTCTTGCTGTTTAAATCATTACTTAAAAAATAGATAAGATTACAATAGCTGATTCGACAATTCGAATTTAACATTTAGCAAATTAACTTGTTGTGTGGCATGTTAATTTGTTAAAATGTCGAATTTTGACATTTCATACAAAATATTTAGTTATTACTTATTTAGCATGAATTTACCATATAAAAACAGCAAAAAAAGTTATTATAACATAAAAAACAGTGTTCTAACTTATAACAACCTTTTTATAGTTTTTCAATTGTTAAATAATATTTACATATTTGCTGTTCGTGTACTGCTAACCAGACGTCCAGAATTATATTTATTGTGATTGGAGGAAAATATTCATAAAATGGACTAGATTACTTAATCCAAGAAAAAAAAATTTACGTGGGTGGAAGGTGTGATTTTTCAGTATTTATTGAGTTACATGAACCCATGCGTGACTTTTCAGTATTTATTGAGTTACATTAAAAGAGCCCAAAAAACATATAGTCAAATAATCTTTAAAACAATTCATTCACATTATAGGAAACATATACCATTAAATATATTTTAATTTGATATTTATTATGTAAACGTACTGCAATTAATTACGAAATTATTATGGTTCTAACTTAATTTTTTTTTTTTGGAAAGTTTTTAATCATGTTTGCGCAACTTTGCAGTTTTCTCAAATTTTTTTTTTAAAATTTTTTCGTTTCATCTATATATATGAATATTCTATTATCTTATAAGTATTTTTTGCTTGAAGATTTACCATCCATTTTTTATAGTTTATCGTTACCTATAATCGTCTTTAAAGGAACAGAAAAAAAACAGTATATAACTTCATAAATTATACATATTATTTTATTAAAAATGTTTATGAAATGTTTATGATATAAAAACATTATAAAGTAAGTTGAATGATAGATATAATATCACAGAGAATTTCAATAATTTCTAAAAACATTTTAAATTAAATTTTATTAGTTGTTTAAAATGACTGTTAACTGTTATACCAGTTACATTTTTCAATTTCCATCTTCATTGTAATGCCGCTGACTTTTTTGGTGTCAGTTCCTGCAAAAAAACTTATTTTGGTGAAATATACTATGTTCTTCATCCTAAACAAAAAAATCCAAAGTTCTGATATCCGGCCATGGCATTGCTTTTCTCTCTCTATCCAACAATGTCAAAAAGTGTTTTTTCTTATACAAAATACCTAAAATACAACTGCTTCCTTTTGGAAGCATCCATGGCGACTAGTGCCCAAATGCATATTAGAGCTTTTTCATATGTGTATGTGTGTTATTGCTTGTTTCCGCCACTCAAGTGCATCAGTGCTTACAATTTTTATATGCAACCCTGTGTAGAAATGTCATTTTGTTGTTGTTTTTACATGTAATTCTTAATTTGTTGCTTATTGTCAAACTTGAAATTGCGTTTAGAGAAGGCGCTAGTTTTCAAGTTTTTGTTTTTAAATTGAACAAAAAATTTGATTATAGCATTAAAGAAAATTTTGCTGTAAAAAATGTGGCCAATCAATGAACTTTTGCGTTTAATTAGAATTATTTACTCAATTCTGCTGTTTATATACATGCTATTGTATAAAACTGGTGAAATTTTAACATATATTATATTATTTGTTGTCCGTCTTATCACTTACATGATTATTGCTATAAATCCATGCGGAATATTTATGTTTTTTATTGAACTTATTAAAAGTACATATCGGTTTGTTTTAGAAATTCTAATATCATGTAACTATGTTATTATTTGGTGTAATGATGCAATTGGAGATATCATTGAGGGTGTATGTAGTTTCATGGAAGTTTCTGTAAACTATATCAAAACGGCATACGATAACGTAGTGAACTTCATGGAGTACTTGGTAAGGATCTGTGTTGAGGCATTGTATTTCATATGCGATTTGGTATGGATTATCCTTGGAAGCGTGCCAAGATTTATAATATTTTTGTCTAAAAAAGTGTGGATCATCGAAACGCATATTATATGTGCCACCAATTTTATAACAGATGCTTTTGAGTTGGCTTTATTTGCCGACAAATGGAACCTAGGCCTAACATTGTTTATCCTGTTATCTATCTTCTTATTTAATCACCGTTTAAGAAAATTGACTTCTATAATTCGTTCCTATTACAAAAACGTACGTATAACTCTTACATATTTATATATCTAGTTAAATTTATTAAATATATTGCTTCATTTTTTATAGTTACGTCGTAAATTTATTGAAAAATTATTTTATTATTGGTTGCGTGTTTCTGAGAGACGTCAAAAAAAAGCTGCTGTAGAATCGGATTCAGAGCGGTGCATTATATGTCAGGACAGAAGGAAGTCAGTGTTACTAATGCCCTGTAAACATTTGTGCTTATGTGTTATATGTTTGGTAGGTCTCTTACAAATTGATGACGTCAATAACACTTGCCCTATGTGTCGATCGCGCATTGTTACTTATATCACAGATATATTTATCTAAGTTAACATATCTTTCATAAAGTACATTAACCACAACATTTGTCTATTATACAAACAGATCTACGTTTAAACGCGAAAAACAATTTTTTTCAATTATTAATTCGATTTATTAATTAAAATTACCCAAAACTATGTACAAGCAAAAGACTTATAGATTTGTAAGTTAGTTCTAGTCTTCTTAGAACCAAAAAAAAAAAATGTAAAATTACGTTAATTGTTTTAACTAAAAACTAAATTAATGTATATAGAATAGATAGATAGATTGTTAAGTTCAAAATGACCACCTTATATAAAAGGAAACCAAATGACATGTTAAGATTGTATGTAAAAGCAATTTCAAACAATTAAAATCATAAGTGTGCAACTTATTGTGATAACACAACATTTAGAGCCTAATGTTATTGCTCTTTGTGTTGTATAAATGATTTACTGTAATTGAAACTATATAAAAATAAAAAGATTTTAAAAATCAAACAGCTTTTTATTTACATTATATCTAAAGTTCGTTGTAGGATTATTTATATCAATTGAACTTTGCACTCTTTTATTCTAACTTGGTATAGAAAAATATATATATTGAGGAAGCGTGAGAAACTATTAAATTAATTATTTTCTTATATAAAAAATCTAAAACGGATAATGTATTAACAGGAAATATTTAGCAGATTGATTACAATTCCAATAAGTGAATTGCAGTGAAGAATTCATAAGTAATAATATTTCAGCTTAGACGGATTGCATAATTAAAGATAAAAACTGTATGTTCTTATATTTTTTAATTATGTTTAGCTCCGATTAGACAAGCACTACAATAAATTTCGTTTTCCTTCCTTCTGTAGAGGTTGAGCAATCATAATTTCCCAAAAACTTAATATTGATTTATGAAATAGCACTTGATTTTCAATACCATAAAATTATTTATTTTAATATAAACTTAAATAGGTAAAACTATTTCTTTAACATTACGATCATCTAACTCTAATGTATAATGTATTGAGTTTATACGAAAGTATCTGCTGCATTAAATACTAGACCTTTTTCTGTTGCATATTCAACCAAGTGTAAATGCAAGTGAAATATTGATTTATTTCTATTCACTTTTAAATAGGCTTTCTAAACCTAAAGTAAATATTATCGCTGAAATGTTGTAGATTACCATAACAAACATTTAAAAAGTTGACTAGATACCCTAACCAATTTACCACTTTATGTGACTATATATTTATTGCACCTGTTGCCATTGTTGGGGAACGCACAATGGTTCATGAAAAACTGAAATTCACAAAATATATAAAAAAAGAACCTCTACCAAATACCACAAAATTGTGGATAATTGCGTTAACCCACTTGTCTTAAGTTTACTTGACAAAACTAATCAAATTCGAAAATCAAAAAGACACCCTGTTTTACAACTACGAATATAATTTTAAATTCACTGGATGTTAAAAAATAACTGTTAAATATTCTAAATCAATACAAATTCATTCAATAGGCCTAAAACACTTAGACAATAAATACAAATCCTTGTAATATTGCTCTTAATAATTACGCCAGGAACTGTTAACGCTTGAAGAGAGTATACAAAAAATCTTCGCCACTCATACTATCGAATCAAATATAATAATATATGCTAATAGCTTTTTCATTTGTTGACAAAATCTAAATTGGAAAATATTGCACTGCTAAGTTTTAAAAATTAAATCATACCTAAATTTTGAGTAACTTTTGATCCTCTTTCAAATTATAATTTTAGTAATTAAGAAATTTATAAAACATCAAATTTTCTAATTTATGTCACAACATAAAATAATGCATTAATTCGTTTACTTGAACCATATTTATGTATGGTTTTCTAAAGATATAATCTAAAAATGATAATAAAATATGATATTATAATATATGTTATAATATAGAATAACCTAGTTATAATAAATAATATCTAGTTATAATATATAATAACATATAGTTACAAAATATAATAATAATATATAATAATGATAATGTATTTTATCTTGGACGCCTGTCATATAATAAACATATTAAATTTAAATTATATAAGGTTTTACGTAGTATCAAGATTCCGAAAAATGTAATGCAATTTAACCGTCAAAGAATAATTTATACACAATAATAATATATAATAATATTGAAACATTTGTAGTGAACAAGAACGGTTGATTTTAATTTAATTACCGCGCATTAAACTATATATCCATATTAATAATTAAAATATCAACTTATAATAGTTTTGGATTATATGTATTGTGATTATAAAATATTTCCTTTACAAGCAAGCATACCAAAATTATCTATATACAATTAAGGCGTGCCTAAAATCAAGATTTGAAATGAAACTTTACATATTAATAAATAAATGAAAGCAAAATAACCTTTAACTCTAAGAAGATGGAGGAGGTTGTTGTGAATTGTTGCGATTATTTCCTCCGTTATTTTGTGGACTTGGTGGTGGAACAGATGACAAATGATTAACAAGCGATTGGAAGATGTGTAGCATGTCATTAGGTATTGGGGGAGAACCAGCAGCCGGGGCGCCATTAATATTAGAAAACATTTGTCCTATAGCATTCATAATTAGTGGATTTTGTGACATGTTCTGTAGTTGCTCCAAATCAATTTCAGCACTATTGAAAATATTACGTATTGCTGGATTTGACAACATTGCAGACAGTCCTTCAGTTATTTGTGGCGCAGAAGTTGGTAATTGACGGCGAGCATTACGTGCAACCTCAAGATTATTACGATAATCTTGATTATCAGGTCTACATAAAAAGAAAATATAAAAATTATATATTAATATATTATTTACAGTCTTACTCCAGTTCAATAGCTTTAGTATAAGCTTGCTGTGCTTCCTCGTATTTTCCTAAATTGGAATATGCGATACCTAAACGACCATATGCTTTGCTGTAACTTGGATTGTATACTAAAGCCGATTTGCAGTCAGTTACTGCACGGTCACTATCTCCCAGACGAATATAAGCAGCAGCTCTGTTGCAGTAAAATATTGGATTTTTGGGATCAAACGTTATAGCACGATTGTATTGCAATAGTGCTTCATTATATTTCCCATCTTTCATTAATCGATTGCCTTCATTCTTAATTGTTTCAGCCAATTGCAATGATTCAGGTTTACGTTCGATATACAATGACTGGAACATTTCAAACAAGTCAATTTCCTTCGCTTCAATTTTTTCTGTTGCACTAGTGCCAGCTGGTGCATTTTCAGCACTTTCTTTAGAACTTTGTTCACCTTCTGGCTCTTCTAAATCAAACGCCGCTTGAAGACATTGAACTGCGACTTCTACACTTTCTTGGGCATCTGACGACAAGACGTTTAGATCGATCTGTCGCTTAAGATAGTCCACAAAAGAGCGTATAAAAGTTTTCTGTATTTCGTCTTGCATTATTTATGGTAACACTTTTACAGAAATTCACAGGAATTTAATTTACAAATTTCTTAGAAACACGTCGAACTGTCTCGCAGCCGCTGCAATGAAAACAGATTACAAATGTCTACTTTTACTCGTAATGTGTTCGTAAAAATTGTAGAGTCTAGAAACAATGAAACGTCAGTTGTAAATTTTGCGCTGTCATTTCAATAGAATTATTATTAATTAACATATATATATATATATTTATATATATGATATATATTTTTTTGTAATATTACTTATTTAACATATATATACCGGATATAGCTAACTTTAACCTTTCACTCCAGTGAATTTAGAGATAAAATTTTAAAATTGTATATAAAAAGTTATATATTTTCAGCTACCAAAATATTCTGAATATATCAATTTAAGAAAAAATTTTTTTATATTTTAAAATGTCAACGTTGTTAAGAACAAAATAAATTTTACCTAAACTTACTTTGTCAAAAAATTTATTCGACAAAGTAATGCCTAGAGTATGTTTCATTTGCGATAGTTATATTTACTTTACACATATATGCACTATTGAATATACCGCAATAATAATGTGTTTACACAGCTCAAATAATGTTAATTGTGATTTAGGCCGTGTGTGAGATTGAATAAATGGTAAATTGAAAGAAATAGTAAATTATGTCGATATGGCAGCGAATGTTAGTAATTACTAGAATTTCGAGTAGGGTAAATTGGATAAAATTTAGGTAAATTAAGTGTTACCATTATGAAAATTTTATAAGATGTTTAATAAATAAATTTTAAAACTTTTTACCAAAAATAATAAATAAGTGTAATAAATAAATAAATAAATATTTACATAAGTGCAGTGCAAAAAATCCCTAGAATATTTAAATGTACTTTACTCGAATTCGCACACTGCCTTAATATAAAATAAAATAATTAAAATAAAATTTAAATTTAAATAAATCTGACGGCGAGAATATATATTGAAGTAAAGTTCCTTTAATTAAAGTTCAGATAAAATGTTACATATATTATATATTAAGCGTTAAAAATTATATATCACGTAATCGTTTATGTGATTTGAAAATTTTAAGATTTGTACACACCGCACAAGTAATAGTAATTCTGATTTAATATTGTTATTCTTGCTAGTTAAAATATCTTATTCTGCTTATAAAATCAATTTTGGTGAACGAAACTTGATCGTTGATATTGACGAATGGCGCCGACACGTAGACCTAACCGTTCTAGGTCAAAATTTATATTAATAAATGCATACAAACATCTGACCTTTTCACCTTTTTTTGTAAATATGTCAAAAACAGCTTCCTCAAACTGTCAAAATGCCATGAAAACCTTTTATTTGAGGTATGTTCAATGGATTCCTTTGCATTTGGAACATATGTGGAATGCATTCGAACGTCTTTCATACAGAATGTGAGAAAATTGCTCATTTTCGCGCTTGAAATTTTATATGCAAGAATGAGCCATTCGCTACTCATATTCGATTTTTGACCAAAATGAGCCATTTTCGGCCAACGTAAACGCCATATTACCTTCAACAGGCACATTGACAATCAGCTGTTTGAAATGAGAACACATGAACGACAACGAATGTAAACACTTTCAAATGATAGATTTGAAATGAGTTATTTGCGGCCAGTGTAAATGCCATATTAGTTAACACTTTTTAGATAGAGGAATTCAATTAGCGATGATTGCATGTGAAATTAAGCAAACAGAGTAACAAATAATGTACATGAAATCGAATGACTTATACCATAATAAATATATTGCATACTATTAAAGAATATAAGGTTCAAAAAATATATTTTTGAAAATTCGTGCTCTGTTGTGCTTATTTATATTTGACAAAATGGACTTCTGTGATTGGTTTTCAGCTCAAAGTCGATTTCCACCAGCAAAGTTCGTAATGTAAACATAGTGTCAGAGGGGCCGTATACGCCTATTATATACTATTATATAATATGTAGATTAATAATGCTAACAATAATGCTTAATTGCTATTTTCAAAAATAATATTACTAATTTTTTAATTTATATTTTTATATCAACCTTGCCAAAGTGTAGAATACAATATTCTACGACTAAATATACAAATGTATGACGAAATTGATTAGACAATTCACACTTTCTAAACTGTAAAATATTTAATATATTTTATGTTATATATATTAATTTTATATAAACATATAGAAAAAAAGTTATATTTTAATGTATCACTCTTTTCGAATAACAATTCACTTTTGTAGAGATTTGTATGAATTACGTAAAACCCATTTTAAAGATGGAGTATTAACTCCATTAATTTATTTAAAAATGCAACTCTGTCGGGCTCATGCTACATAGACAATAGGTTTCTTATGTTCAGCACATATTTTGTGTATACTGCATGTGGTATAATGATGGTATGTCTCTTAATTCATATCAATACACTATGTAGGGTATATCAATAACTTTAAGATCAGCATTTATTTTGAGTTTACTCTATTGTTGATTTTTCTTAAAATTCCTTTAGTTTCACATCAGAAAGCAAAGTTGGTGGGGCTATGTTTTATGCTGTTCTGTTTTGTTTATAGACTTTCATATAATTGGGTGTGTGGTTATTTCCTACATGTGATATAAAACAATCTCAATTCTTAAATGTAAACATATTTGAAAATGGCAATGACCGAAATATAAAAACCTGCGTATTGCAGATAAATGCATTTATTGTGAGGATTTCAATTAAAAAACTCAGTGAGTTCCCCTTTACACCAAATAATTTATTGCAAATTGTCGAAAAAACAAACAGCAACGACCGATACACAAATATCGTTTAGGAGCCGTTTACGTTGTTGTTCCCACTCGACCATAAAAATATCACCATAAGTGCGTGTACCACCATTCCATATTTGTTCACCTGTCGTCGTAGTTGCATAATAAATATTTCATTTCACTAACTTCACTGTGATGGTTCGCCTTACACGCAGAGAACGCCAGGACAAGATTGTGCTATTGGCTAGCATCAACAAAGTAAATATTGGCGATGAAACCGAAGCTGTGGACAATGGTTCGTTATAAGATTTTGCTTGTGTTGTATCGCTTCTTGTATTGAATTTGTGGTGCTTATTTTCTTTGTTTGCATTATTTTAAAAAGATATTAATTCCTTCTTTTTTTTTTTTTGTTATGTTATATATTTATAGTTTAATATTATTAATATTAAATGTATGTGAATAATTATTATTTTATTTGTTATTATCTATATAGATGGATATGTAGTAAATTATAAAAATCCTGTAAAGTATAATGATGACACTGATGCCATATTCTTAAAGGGTCTCCTACTAAGCAATCCTTCTACACCAAACAAGGATATATTGGTAAGTTAAATTAGAGAAAATGTTATAATAGAAACTACTTTGAAGTGTTAGTAATATATTAAGCAATATGGCTTTGTTCCTAAGCTAATTGCATATTTAAATCGTAAATATCGTACATTTCTTAAATATTTTTCACTTTTGTTTAAATAAAAATAAAAGATTCTCTTTTTTTAAAATTGCGTTTAATGTCAAAAAAGACTAGTGCCAATATGTTTGTTTTTATATTAAATTATTTATTATTTAATATAAAAAGTTTTTATGATAACTTTACATAAGCGCTTAATAACACTATACAGTTTTACTATATGTATTTTACATACATATATGCAAGCTGTTACGAGAAGTAGATCAACAGGAAGAGCGACATGCTTTAGTAGGTCATCATGCGAAATGCAGCAGATAATTTTGTTTATTGGCTCCTGAGACTTAATTTTCTAATTGCCATTATTTTGGTTATATATTTGTATAGTATTTTTGTTTATAGTAAATAAATTTTTTCTATTAAGAAAATATTTTATAAATTAGGCTCAGCATTTTTAGCTAATCTGTGTTAATATTAAATATTAAATATTCATTAAAATCAGGGAAGCAAAAATGGTAGACATCAAATTAGGTGCAGGCGTATGTACTATATCTAAAACAGAATTTGAACTCAAATATATATTACACGATTTATAAATATGTTTCTTGTAAAACAAATTTTTATTATATATTTTTTCAACTTCAACTTCCATAACTCGAACTTCTTTAACTCGAATTTTCTATAACTCAAATTAAAACGAGTGCAACAGAGTTTTAGAGCAAATTACATACAATTCTGCGTCCATAACTCGAACTTCTATAACTCGAATTTCTCTATTACCCGAATAAAAATATTGTCACGTGCCAATAGGAATACGTGAAAGTGCATTCTATAAGTCAAATTTTTGTTTTAAGTATGAATCCATTTTGGTGTTGGGGGAAGTCCCTTTTTCCAAATCAAATGTTTCAGTTTTTCTTTCTTATGTTGCTTCTTTATGCAAATGCCAGTCGTTAGCAGCGTGTTTTAAAGTAAATAAAATAACTCCCAATGCTACTTTTAATGATTATATTGAACTTGACAATTTGTATATCAAGCTTTCCTACAGACAACGATATTATTGAGCATTATAGCTCTCCAATCCGATTCTAAGCGCAATAGAAAGTGATGATGAGGGTTCGGTGGATTCTTCAATAGCCTTCCAAGAATAAAGTAGAAAACTCATTCAAAATTCTGAATTTTTATTTACAAACGAATGATACTACAACTGATGATCACTAGAAGGCTTCAAATAAATTGGAGTCCTTTTATATTGAAAATAGAAAATAAGAAAAACAATTAAAATCTCAAACCCTAATTTCTGAATGTTTTACTTCACTATAATTTCTGTGCTCTATTTGATTTCAAATAAATAAATATCTTAAAATGTAATTTTAGTTTCTTTCAAAAAAAAATTCTCTAACTCGAAATCTGCAGAAGTCGAAGCTTTTCTTTGCAAAATGGTACTTTGAGTTATAGAAGTTCGACTGTATATATATATATATAGTATATAATATTTGTAATACTTAAATGTTGAAGATCATATAAATATTTTATAAAAGGTTTTTAAAAACCCTTTCTTAAATTTAAATTCAAAATCTTTTTTTTTTTTTGGTTATCTTACTTTTTTATTCAAAATATTTCACACTAGCGATTAGTGCTATCTAAAAAAATCCTCCTTTACACCTATTGCAAGCAATTTTATTTAAGTGAGGATTTTATTATATGGGAAAAAGCTAAAAGCAAAAATGTCTTTATTGACAATATTCATAAAATAAGAATTGCTTATATCATAATTTTATAAAATAAAATGAGTTAATTTAAAAAAAACAAAAATAAACCAAGATTTATGCAATATACGTTCAAGAGTAATTAAAGATAGTTATATATGCTTGACAAAAAATATTAAACTATATATAATCTTACTAATGTAGTAATATAAATGTCATAACAAGTTTAATTAAAACATAAAAATGTCTAAAACAAGCCATAAATTAATTTACAATATTTCAAAAAGCTTTTTCCTACATAAAAAAAACACTTTCTCTCTAATATATCAAATTTTCTTTTAAAAGCTGTTTGAAGATCTTTCTGCTGCGGGTCCGAAGATTCAAAAACTTTGTGTCCAAAAATTTTTGTATTACCATATACCACCACTATGAGATTATGTAATATTGTTTAGTCGGTGTAATTACCTATATGAAGTGGTTTGTTACTGAAGAAACGTAATACACGTAACACTTAAAGATTCCCTTAAGCTGATATTAAAAAACTATCTTTAATATAAAAAAAAAAACAACAATTCTATGAGGTTAACATATGAGATTAATATATAGTTTTATTAGTGTTACCATATGTAACACTTTTACTTTATGTGAAATAACTTGGTAACCCTATTCTTATTTGACCTACTTTTGAGAAATATACTGTAATTAATGTTAATGTGTTACGTTATAAAGTGAAGCTGGAAGAATGTAAGAACCTTAAGCTTTACCATTTGTATACATAATACTCGTTTAACTCAATTTGCTGACTAAGTAATGCTGAGTGTGCACCTATTTACATATATAATGTAAATGAAAATCCATGAAGAGAAAATGAAAAGCCTAAGATACTTGCTACTCACATGAAAATCTATTTAATTATAGGCCAACTATATCAGAAAGTAGTTTTTTTTACTGATTCTTCTAATTATAAATTAACAGGTTTTTCAATTTGAATATTTTATTAAAATTATAAATCTTTAACACCTATTTTTTGCGAAGATTTTATAAGTGTTTATAAAGTTAATGTATTTATAATTAATTTATTTTGCTGAAGCTTTATATACACTCTACTAAATATTCTATTATATGATGAAAATCTGCTTAGTATCAGATTCATCTATACATCTATAGCTACTATCAGGAAGGTATTACTCTTGTGCCCTCATTTTAAGTACTCTGTAGGGTTATAAAGATTTCATATATATGGTATATATATGTAAATCTATTTATTAAACGATTTTTGCGGGTTAATTGGTCAAATTTTTATTTATTGTTAAAAATAAAAATTGAGAAAAAGATCGATATTTCGACTTAAGTCTAAACTCATCATTAGAAAATTTATGTATATAAAATAAAATAGACCTTATATTATTTCTGAGTACTAAACTATAATATTGTGAAGGATTTCTAAATTATATTTGTTTGTGATTGTGGGATAAAAATGACATTAATTTTTTTATAAAACTAATTAGAAATCAAAATCAAGGCGGAAACTTAAACATATTTGCGCGACTTTTCCCTTTTTAGTGTAAATAATGTGTTTCGTGAAATTTTTTCAGATTTAATCTTAAAAATAAAAACGTAAATAGAGATTGCACGTAAAATTAAATTAATATATAAAAAATATTGAGTAATTGTAGTAAATTAACTTTAGCGACATTAGCCTATTGGATTGTTGCGTTTTTGTGTTATATAAAATTATATTAATTTTGCAAACAAAGTGTTTGTAAATAAAATAAATGTAAAAGTAATAGATTTGTTGATTAACATTCTAACATGATTATACTTATATTATAAATATACTTATATAGTCGTCAAAACAATGTACATAAGTGTAGTCATATTATCTTTAGACACCTCCTAAGGATTAATCATCCTTATCCATTGGATTTCATATGTTATAAATCTTTAGACTAAAGTTATCTTTAGACATCTCCTAAGCATATTATTTAAAGACAAACGGATTAATCATCCTTATCCATTGGATTTCATATGCTATAAATCTTTAGACTAAAGTTATCTTTAGACACCTCCTAAGCATATTATTTAAAGACAAACCGCTCAATTATCCTTATCCAGTGGATTTCATATGCTATAAAATCTTAGACTAAAGTTATCTTTAGACACCTCCTAAGCATATTATTTAAAGACAAACCGCTCAATTATCCTTATCCAGTGGATTTCATATGCTATAAAATCTTAGACTAAAGTTATCTTTAGACACCTCCTAAGCATATTATTTAAAGACAAACCGCTCAATTATCCTTATCCAGTGGATTTCATATGCTATAAAATCTTAGACTAAAGTTATCTTTAGACACCTCCTAAGCATATTATTTAAAGACAAACCGCTCAATTATCCTTATCCAGTGGATTTCATATGCTATAAAATCTTAGACTAAAGTTATCTTTAAACACCTCCAAAGCATACTATTTAAAGACAAACCGATCAATCATCCTAATCCAGTGGATTTCATATGCTATAAATCTTTAGACTAAAGTTAACTTTTGGGAACGAGAAAAAAATTAATATTTTCAATTAATTTAAATTAATTAATATACAAAATACTATAACGATATAAGTCTTTAAATGTACTTATAAATGAAAAAGTGAAGTAATTAAATCAAAAGTTTTTCAAACCTCGCTTTTTATTTAGAGAAGAATATGTGAAAAAATTAAACGTTTTCGAGTGAACACTGTATAATTAAAATAAATTATTTTTAAATTAATAAACCTTAAATTAATATGTATATAGAGAGCACAAAAGTTTAATTACTTCATATATGGAACTTTGTTTATCTTATTAAAAACAGTCTCTTCACAAAGTGTAGAGTATGGAAGGTATCTATTTTAAAAAAATGACGACGTTGTTTTGAGTTTTTTTTTTAATCGAGTATCTGTACTTACAAAATACATAATAACCAGTTTTATTTAAAAAAAGAAAAAAATTAATACCTACAAACGGAATACATATTGCATCTCCGTTTTGAGCACGTTTTCGATTTTTCTTATTGTCATAAGCGTTATCATGACGCCACTTTGGTCCAATGAATTGATATGAACATTTATGCTTTTGGAATTTTGTTCAGTAAGCATAAAATCTTAATAAAAAATTAGTAATGCTTACGAATTGTGTATACAGGGTGCTTTCACTTATTGCTACAATTTTATTTTT